TGAGTGGTAGATGTGATTTAAATCACACGCTTACTGAGTGAGTGCCCAGGACACAGATGCTTTGTGCTTCGGTAGATGACTGATAAAACGAGATGTGGTCCCTGTCCTTAGGAAGGGGTGATCACGTGATGCAGTACTGACAACTGCCACGCAGAAGGTGGCATGTGACGTGAGTGACAGAGGAGAAATGGAGGTGGTCCAAAGTGGGGTGGGCCAGAGCAGGCTGCAGAGAGGAGGAAGCACAAGGCCTTCCAGGGGGAAGGGCTCTTGGCAGAGGAAGAAGGAAGAAGTGTGGGGCATGGCTATGGAACAACAAGGAGTCCATTTTGCCTGTCACCTGGGCCATGCCACGGGGAATGATGGGAGATGAGGTGGCTACACTGAGGACTAGGGCTTCATTCTACCAGGGTAGTAGGTTACAAAGTGCTGGGAGGAGATGCAGACGAGATGAAGAGATTAGATTGTTTGAAAAAGGGATGGGCGTTAGGAAGCTGAAAGCTCTTTCCTGACCGTTTAGCCCAGAGTCCAGGAAGGTTCTGTTAGGACAAACTCAGTGCTGACCTGTACGGCTGTGTCCTCGGCCTGGAATGGGACTATAGGCAGCGACATTTCAGAGGGAGAATTCACAACACGGGATTGGATGAATTAAAAAGGAGGGGAGGTGACTAGAAACCCACACGTCTAGTCATGTTTTTCATGGTGACTAATGTTGCCCCAATAAATTTAAATAAAAATTAAAAAGGGGGCAGGCAGGATGCTGCCAAGAAAGGAGAATCAGAAGGACTCCAGGATATTAAAAAGGAGAATGGTCTTGCCCATGATGTTAATAAAATCTGAGAAATTTGGCCATAGCCGGTTTGGCTCAGTGGATAGAGCGTTGGCCTGCAGACTGAAGGGTCCTGGTTTCAATTCTGGTCAAGGGCACAGGCCCGAGCTGCGGGCTTGATCCCCAGTAGGGGGCATGCAAGAGGCAGGTGATCAATGATTCTCTCTCATCGTTGATGTTTCTCTCTCTCCCTCTCCCTTCCTCTCCAAAATAAATAAAAGCATATTTTTAGCCGTAACCAGTTTGGCTCAGTGGATAGAGCATCGGCCTGTGATCTGAAAGTTCTCAGGTTTGATTCCGGTCAAGGGCATGTACCTTGGTTGCGGGCATATCTCCAGTTGGGGGTGTGCAGAAGGCAGCTGATCGATGTTTCTCTCTCATCGATGTTTCTAACTCTCTATCCCTCTCCCTTCCTCTCTGTAAAATATCAATAAAATAAATATTTTTTAAAAAGCATATTTTTAAAAATATCTGAGAAATTTGGAAGAAGGTACGATTTGTTGGGAATGAGGAAGAAGGCAGGGAAGAGAGATGGCAAATAGCAAAGTAGCTAACATGGTAGGTTCGTGGCCATTGAATCCTTATAGCACCCAGTGGGGAGGTATATCGTCAGCCATGTTTTACAGATGAAGACTTTCTGGTCCAGACAGGTTGTCGCTGGCCCAAAGCAGCCAGGAGCCAGATGGTAGAGTTTGGGTTTTTGTCTAAATGCAACAGGAAGCCACTGGAGTTAAAGCAGGGAATGACACAGTGCATCTTAAGTGACTTTAAAAAGCCAACGCTAGCTCTGTGGCGACAATGGACGGAAGCAAAGGGTGGAACCTAGAGGTTGGTGCCATCACCGGGCCAGGCAATGAGGCCATGGTGTATGGATCCCTGTGATGGCAGTGGGGTGGGGAGGAGCGCTGGGCCTGTGATTATTTTGGAGGCAACACTGACCAGTGTCCTGGTAGACGAAAGGCGGAAAGTGAAGAAAAGGAGGAAGCGAGGGTGATGTCTGAATGTGTGTCGTGAGCAGTGGGGTATCAAGATGCAGGTTTGGGGATGCCTGAGTTTGGGCAGGCGAGATTGAAAGTTAAAGAAAGACTGGTTAGAAGCAGAGAGACTCAGAAGAAACTTGTGAGTGGAGAGGAATGAATCAAATGAAAGAGGAGAAAAGAGATAACTTTTCAAGGGACAGAAGTGATAATGAAAGAAAAAGCCCCAGTGGGGAGATGGGGACCACCTGGCCGGGTGCATGGAGGGTTAGGTCTGTGACCCTTTCTGCCGTGGAAAGTGCTCTGCTGTGGCTTCCTGGCTCAGGTGTCACCTACCATGGGGACATTCCTGATCCCCTTCAGGGCCTGGTGTCTGCCCTTCCTCATGCCCCCCATGCTTACCCATCACTCACAGGTTTTGTTGTGTCTCCAATACAGTCCCTGTTGGGTTCCCTGAGCTGAGTGCAGATTCTGCTTTCAGCTCACACTCTCCTTGGTCAAAGACTGGAGGAAAGAGCAAAAAATTGGGTAAACTCGTGGCGGGTGTTGGAGGAAGAGGTACAGTATGGGTCGTGCAGTTACACTGATGTGTGGGCTGGGGACTCAGGAGACCCCCACCGGTTGGAGTCTGGGCTTCAGAGGCAGGTGAGGGGCAGGTGGGAAAGACTGTACTCCCTGTCACCCAGGCCCCGCTGCCACCACAAATCTGTAATGGAAACAACTAGCCCTGTTGGGTCACTTCCCCCAGGAGCGAAAATCAGTCAGACTAGATGAAGAGATTAGGTTGTTTGCCGTGCCATACCTATGAAGGCAGGAAAGTAGACGCTTATCTTAGAAAGCCTTTCCCCTTTTTAAACAATAAGGGTTTTCTAGCTAATAATTCGGTGAAACAGAAAAATCTGATCAATCAGAACTCCCCATTCCCCAGGTTTCTCATGAACTGTGACTTCGTAGCTTTTCACAGGACCAACATGGCAGGCATATATGCAACGCTGGAAATGGCACTAAGGACACATTTACTGTTCACAGGGGAAAGCCACACGGTCTCTGGGTTTGCTTCAAAATAATGGGGGCGGGCGGGGGTGGGTAGGGTGCATGTATGACAGGATTGGCCCTCAGTGGATCATTGTGAAAACGGATGAATGGGCCCTCAGTTCATTACACTGTTCTACTTGTGTGGATGCTGGAGATTGTCTGAAATGAAAAGATAAAAAAGCACACTTACTGAAATTTAGGACAAGCGCAATCACACCACCCCACAGAGGCTCAATTTAGATGCTGACATACCGAAAAGAGGTACTGGAGAAGGTAAGTTCTGTTCTGTAGAGCTGAGTCCACATCCGAGGTGAGGTGCCTTTAAATGCCACTTGAGAGAGTTCTTATCCTACCTAAACCTAACTACGAAATTACAGCCTCAATTAGGGAACTTGACTTGTTATATTCAGTATGTAGTCGTATGAGTCAATCTTTAAACCTTGTTCCATACTCTGTCAGTGTGACATCTCACACCCCAGTCACACCCTCTGCCTCTGACTTCTGACCTGGCCGCACCGCCTGCATTTGATGCAGAGGAGACGTGACTAGTCTTGGACTTTTCCAAGCTCACATTGACTGTAAGATAGATTGTAAGGCAGAATGGGGTGAACGTTATGATGTGAACTGGTTGCGAAATGATGGTGCCAGGGATTTGGATTAGGGTTAGGGCAGTGGGATAGAAAAGTGGGTAATGACCTTGAGAGAAACGTAAAAGACAAACTTGATAGGGCTTGGTGTTGGAGGAGGGGAAGGAGAGATGGGGGCATCAAGGATAATGCTGGGATTTGGAGCATGGAGAACCCATTGGCAAGATAAAAGTGACCTTTCAGCTTCTCACTCTGACCCATGTCACCTTGACTGTTGCTTCTCTATGAAATGGGAATAATCACACCACTAACTTGAGAAGCGCCCACAAGTGAGGATGTCCCTGCAGTGGCTCCACGCCTGAGAGAGGAATGGGAATCTCTTGTGCACTAGCCACATGCCCTCTAGATCAGCGGTTCTCAACCTGTGGGTCACGACCCCTTTGGGAGTCGAACGACCCTTTCACAGGGGTCGCCTAAGACCATCGGAAAACACATATATAATTACATATTGTTTTTGTGATTAATCACTATGCTTTATGTTCAATTTTTAACAATGAAAATACATCCTACATATCAGATATTTACATTACGATTCATAACAGTAGCAAAATTACAGTTATTAAGTAGAAACGAAAATAATTTTATGGTTGGGGGTCACCACAACATGAGGAACTGTATTAAAGGGTATTGGCATTAGGAAGGTTGAGAACCACTGCTCTAGACACTCTCTGCTCCTCCCTTGCCAGCCCATCCAAACTCTACTTCTCCAAATTATGCCCAAACATCTTCCTTACTTAACATGGAGCTGGGCTCAAAAACTTGAAAGAGCCAGACAGACACCAGCTGCTTAGCTTGTTGGCAGTCGAGCTCCCTGTGGCTGGAAGGAGTCCACATGCCACTCACCTCTCTCCAGGGCCCTGACCCTCAAAGCTCCACATCTTGTTTTGTGTCATGAACTTCTTCCCTTGGGGGAGGCCTTGGGGTTTGATCAGACAAGAACCTGTGTAGCAAACCACTGCATTTTAGTCAAGAGATACAGATCTGGGCAGTTGGTACAAGCGCCACTCAACTCTGCCTGCCTGGTGAGTTCATGGGCAGAATCGGTCACACTGGGCGTGGGATACCGGCCCCATTGGCGGAGGCCTCTCTGTAGAACCACTGTCTTTCTGGAGATACCTCCAGAACTTCACCCGCCTTGACCTCTGTGCTCACCCCAATGCCTCCACTGCAGGCGGCATCCCCACCTCCAGGCCAGGAGCGCAGTCGGGCGGCACTCTGCCTGCTCTCCTTTCACCGGCTCCCCATAGACCAGTGGTTCTCACCCTTGGCTGCACATTAGAATCACCTGGGAATCTTTTTAAAATCCTGATTTCTGGGTCTCATCCTCCGGAAATTCTGTTTCTTTATTATGGGGTGGGGCCACAACATTAGTAACAAAGAAACAGAATTTCCGGAGGATGAGGCCCAGAAATCAGGATTTTAAAAAGATTCCCAGGTGATTCTAATGTGCAGCCAAGGGTGAGAACCACTGCCATAGACCAACAGGGCAGCACTGAAGACCACACACCACGAGCGTTTCCAAAAAATACGGCTTTTTATTGTTCTGGATGTAAATGTAGTTTTCAAACTGCATTGTAGTGTTGAACACAGCTGGTGGAAACATGCTTCTCGACACGCGTGATAGGGCTGTGCTCTGGGCGACACGGGCCTGAGGGAGCCTCTGCTGCCCAGACTCCGCGGGGGTTTCTTTCCTAGACGGGGGTAACTGTCCCCTAAAGGAGCCCTGACACCATCACCGAAGCTCCCAGCAGGAAAAAGCGACCCATTGCACAGGGAACGGAACCCGGACAATTAAAGAGCGTGGTGTCTGGGCCGTGAGAGGGCTCAGGTGTGGAGTGGCAGGGGTGTGGGGGAGGCTGTGCTCGGCTCCCACGCGAGCACACAGCTGGGCCGGGTCTCCCAGGGCCGGGCCCTTCCTACCTTCTAACTGCAGGATGGAAACTCTATGGAAACGTATAAAACTTGAGTTTCTCCCAGCCCTGCACAAGCTCAGTTCCTGAGAGCAACATGTCTGTTCAGAAACGCAGAAGAGAATTCTTCAAATCAGCGACGCCCACGGTCGACTGTGGAACCAAAAGTTTGACTGGGAGGTGAAGGTGAATTCTGCTACATAATTGGAAAGGAATTTCACAAAAATAAAATTTCATTAAGTAAACACACTCACACACACACACACACACACACACACACACACACACACACAGAGTCAAAGCCAACAATCAGTATAAAAAAGTTCCCTTTTTTCTCCAAGGCTGATTTTCACAAGCCTGACAAGGAAACAGCCCCCACATGTGAGCCGGGAGAGCCACGTCCTCAGAAGGAGAGAATCAGGCAGCTGACCCCTGTGGAGGGACTGGCGGGGGTGGGGGGGTAAGCTCCTAACGCTTTTCCCTGTTCCTGGAGCCCCTCCAACCACAAAGACCTGCTGAGTGGGCCACGACCAAGGCAGCTCCTGAATGGTACAAACATGTCGAGCTTCCAAGCTCTTCCATCCTCCAGCCTCGCCCTCCTCTCTCCTTCCCCATGTTCAGACGTGGGGAAAATCTTAATATATGAGGCACCGAGCCCGAGGCGGCCACATCAGGGCTCTCCCAGCTCCATCCCAACCAGGTCCCACAGAGAACACTTTGCAAAACTAAGTGTAGGGAGTGGGGGGGGCGGGGGTGTCAGCAGTTCACCTACTGCAAAGAGCTTAATGGCAAGCAGGGAATCTCCCGGGAAAGGCAATCTCCCACCAGACAGAAGAGCAGCCCAGCTTACACCCAGTCAGTGGGACAAAGACCGTGGAGGGACCAGGTGACCACCGGAGGGGAAGGGGCTGCTGAGAGTAGGAGGGGTGATGAGGCAAGGCTCCAAGCCTGCCCATCGGAGCCAGTGAGGTAAAAGAACTGAACCGAGGAGGCCAGGGCAGGCAGCGTGGGGCCTGGCCCATAGCACCCACCCCCTGCACGCTGAGCGAGTCTGCTGGCCACGGGGGGACAGACCCACAGTACAGTCCCGCTCCACTCTGATGAGCTCTTGTTCAGCCAGAAAGCAAACACTTGTGACCTTGAAAACAACGATCCTGCTGTCCCTAGATTCGTTTGGTGGGAAGCCAGGCCTCTCAAGGAAGGAGGCCCAACCTGAGAGGAAGCTGGGGTGGAGCCAGCCAGAACTGCACATGGAGACAGGGGTGTGTGACCCCTTTTGGAGGTGGCTAAGCTAGGATCAGGCAATGAATGATGTCACCCACGACCACACCCCTTCACCTGGATGGGACAAAGGGGCTGGGCACCATGCTGGAGTCCCATGTCCTCTAAGAACCTAAGTTTATATTTCTATTGGCACAGCAAAAACACCTTCAGGCCCAACCTCTGGAAAGGTGAAATGGGGTCATGTCACAAGGACAGGAAGTGGAGAAAGGTGGTTGCCCAAGGACCCATATGCAACCTCAATCCACAGCATGCTGGGGATTTCACTGCCCTGCCCCGGCCCCTCCTTCCATCAGCACTAATTTCTGACGTAGGAACTGCTTCCCTGGTGCTGTGAAAACTGCTGCAAAGCTGTGGGTCTGCCACAGGTTGGGGACCTGCTGAGGGGTGACAGCTGGTGTGTAAGCCGCCTGGGTCAGGAGGGACAGGCCTTTCGGCTTTCAGAAAGCCCCACAGTGGCCTCTGCTCTGTCCCTGCATCCCCACTCATTGTGAAAGAGGAAAGAGCGGTGCAGGGAGCTGATGGCACAGAAAGATTTCACAGAAATACTTGCAGAAATGAATGTACCAGACAGGATTTTTTTCCCCTTTTCAGATTGATTTTCTCATTCTCCTAAGTGTCAGCATTTTTAAGTCTCTTTTATGGGAGTTGGAGTGATATAAGTGTAAACAAACCACAGCCCCGTGGTCAGCATCTACTGGAGGCCGTTGGCAGACTGCCTCAGCTTCCCCATGCCCTGGCCGGTGGCCGGGACCCAAGGATAGAGGTTGAGAGGCCCTTGTGCTGGCCAGATTCATCAGGCAAGATTCAAGAACAAGAAAACCTGGAGGACTAGCAACAGTGTGTCTGCAGTAAGAGAAACAGCTTTGTGGCCCTACAGCCACGGTAATCGTGAGCACCAAGAGAAATGGATTTAAGGAAATACCTCAAACAAAATCATGCCACACAGACACACACCCTTCGAAGTCACACATAGCCTAACAGCCTTGAACAGCTACCAAAACAGAATCTGATCATTACATCAGCAAAAGGGAGAAATGGAGAGAGGTAGGCCAACGAAGCAAGAGGCCCATTTTATATCTGAATTTGTTTTAAAAAAAGGACTCCCAGCAAGGGGTGGGGAGAAAGCTACAGATTTAGGAGAGGTCTAGGCTGGGCCAAGCACTGCGGCCACCCACGTGGTTTATGAAGGCACAGATCTGTGGAGGGGCCGAGCTCACGCCCCTCCATGAGCCCTAACAGCTGCGAACGTTTCGTGTTTTCCTTTTCCCCTTTGGCCCTAAGGGAGCCCTTACCACGGTGGTCTTCCCCTTTTGAAGGGGGCTTCATGTTTACCTGGGGGTAACGATGGTTCTCTTACCACATCCCATGGAAATGAGGAACCAGCCTAGCCTCATCTTGTGCTTGCCTCTCAGGAGAGGGATCCAGAGGCCTGTAAACACGTGTTCTGGGGAGGCCGAGGGGGTGGAAGCATAGACCAGGGGGCAGGTGACAGGTTAGTGATCTGCAGCAGAGGTGCTGGTGCGGACGGCAACATGGGGAAGAACCCCCATCCAGCCTCACCACCCAAGGCTGAGGCAGGGCTGGCCACCCTCTGAGCACCTTCCTCAGCCTTCCAGGAACCAGGGGGAGCCTCCTAGTGGATCACAACCTCAGGAGGTAGCCGTGGTCCCCCTCACATGGCTCCTGGGCCTCCTCAAAGCCCACCCAGCTCTCCTGGCCTGCCCAGCACTGTCCACTCCATCTCTGGTGGGAGGAGAGACAGCGGGCCCCTCTGAACTTCACAGCAGGACGATAAAAACACATTCTTTCAACAAGAAGGTGCCTTTGGCCGGGCTAGGCTTCCTGGGTGTTAGAGCGCCCTTCACCCACAGCTACTCCTGCAGACACAGCGAGGACTGGCCCAGACCAGCCTCCTGCCATGCCTTCCTCTGGACCCTTCGCTGTAATCCCCATACCTGGAAACAACCCGGTGCCCTAGGGACCCCCCACCTATCAACTCAGTGCAATTCTTTACTATTGGATCTGGGCGATGTCTGGACAGCTGAGGCTGGCCAGGAATTCCGCCTGTCGACATTCCATTTCTTCCTCCAAACAGGACTGGACAGCCTTTGGGTGTGGTGACCTCTTTGGCCCGAGAACCATTCCAGTTTGAGGCTCCCGGGTGAACAATGCAGACAAGATGACCAGGCTGGTGGAAGCACCCTGGAGCCTGGCTTTTTGAATGCTGCACCCGAAGGGCCACTGCTGGCGCGTCCGAGGCTGAGTGTGAAAGCCGGTGGAGAACAGGGTGGAAAGATCACTCTGAGAGCTCACGCCTGGCAAAATCTTGGACCAAGTCCACACTACCATTCCCATCAGCGATGCTGGGGGTGCTGCCCGCCACGCAAGTGGAGCCAAATCAGAACAGGTCACAGGCCACCCAGGAGGGTCTCCGAGCTGGAGCTTTGCATTTTTTGTGCTTTCCTTTCTGTCCACGTGCATTCACACCCTCTGCTTTTGCACATGTGAGTCCGGGGTTTCCCAGGCAGCTGGCCATGTGAAAGCCTGAGCAGCTGTCCAAGCCTGTCTACAGGTCAGAGTCTGGGGGAGGAAGGAAAATGTCTTCCTGCCGCCCCAGGGCGGGCCAGAGCAGCAGGTAATCATCCAGAGACGACCGCCAGGATGCAACAGACAGGGACTGGGCAGGGACCTGTTCGTTTTCTAATTCCAGGAGCAGGTGTTGCCTCCTCGGGCCCACCTACTTCCGTGGGCCTGGCAGACCAGCAGGACAGGAATGAACTGTGGTGTTTCCCTGTCTGGGCTGCCCTGAGGGCAGCAGAGGTTGTGACTGAGGTCGATGAGTGAGAGTTGACAGCAAGGAGCTCCCAAGGATGGACTACTGCTGTTGGCAGGACCCGAACCTGCTTCAGACCTGAGCGTGGCATTCGAGCGGCCCAGGGGGCTGGCAGAGTTGGAGGGAGGCCCTGAGGCTCTGCGTCAGGAGAGGTGTGGGATGCAGCCTCCTCTCCACAGGCAGGGAAGGGTCTTCTGGCATCTTGTGCGGCACGTGCCGGCTAAGCACTAAGACTCCCCCGACCTCTTGCCACGTCTGGTGACAGCCTCCGCGGCCTGCTCTGGCAGCTGGGACGGGTCTGTCAGAATGGAGGTGGTGGTGCTCAGATGCCGGAGGGTGCTCAGCACCACTGGAAGACAGGAGGGGGAGTTAGCCCGAAGACACGGTGTAGGTGGCAGCTTTGAGTCCCACCACGGACAGTAGCACATGTGCCCTTACGCGTATAACCATCGTGTGACTCTCATGCTTGCCAGAGGAGGAGAGGGACACTAGAACAGCCCCTCTGCCTTTAAGGCAGCTCTCTGAATCCTATCCGTAGCCTGCAGATAGGTGGAGAGGCCTAAGCTCTTCCGGCTTGTGCATCGGTGTTACTACCACTTCTCTATAACCTTAACGTATAGACACAGCTCTGTTAGTTATAAGAATTAAACAAGGAAACACCTGAAAGGGCCCAGCCAATAGGAAGAGCTCAATAAACATAAGCTGGATCTGACTGAACTGACAAACTGAAGCCACAGAAAGGCGCTGGGTAGGACTGCTCCCCGCCCTGCCGTTGGCATGACTGGCTCAGGGCCATGCACAGCACCACCCTCATGCCCCGGGCCCTGTATGCATGGTTGCTCACAGTGGGACCTGGGTTTTCTGCAGCCTCAAGGGTCCTCGTCTCTCTGGCACTAACACGGAGGTGGCAGCCTCCAACCCCACCGCCCCTGTGCAGCACCTCACTCACTTGGCCTGAGTTTGGGCAAGGAGCAGCGCTGGTCCAGCCAGGACAGTGCCGTCCGGTGCAGTTCTTCCAGGCTGCTGGTGGACACCATCCCCTTGAAGGACTCGAATAGCGGCTTGATGATGATACTGAACTTCAGGGACGTGGGTTAAAGAAAAGGTAATCGAGGAGGAAGGCCTGTTCCCTTGGGACAGGCAAGTAATTGTGTACAGATAGTTGAGCAACAGAGATCTGGATGAGGTAAGTGTGCCCTTCCGTTTGCCTAAGACGCTTCTATCGAACTGTAACTGACCCCATCGCTTCCCGGCCTTTTGGCTAAGATCAAGTGTAACTATAACTGATCACTGAGCAGGCTGGAGGCAGCGACAGAAGCGTTTTTTGGTCTGGAATGGATCCTGGTGCAATGACGTGAACACAACATATTATACGTATACAGATGCTCCTGGCCTAATGACAGGGTTACATCTTGATAAATCCCTAAGTAAAAAATGTATTTATTACACCTAACTTACGGAACATCACACCTTAGCCTAACCTACCTTAACCATGCTCAGAACACTCACATTAGCCTACAGTTGGGCAAACTCATCTCACACAGTGATTTTCAACCTTTTTCATCTCATGGCACACATAAACTAATTAAATTCTGCGGCACACCAAAAATTTAGATGCAAATATATTTTTTGCCTATATGAAAAAAAAGTGGGATAGAATTCTGGTTATTTGTGTTGGCTGTTGTCATTTTTTAAATTTGACAATCTAAGGGAAAAGAGATCAGTGCCCCTGATGAAATAGTCAGATATTGCATGTTTTAAAAACTCTTGCAGCGCCCAGTCTGGTTTGGATGAGTGGATAGAGTGTTGGCTTACGGACTGAAGGGTCCCGGGTTCGATTCCAGTCAAGGGCATATACCTCGGTTGCAGACTCCTCCCTGGCCGGGTCTCGTGCAGGAGGCAATCAATTGATGTGTTTCTCTCACATCGATATTTCTCTCTGTCTTTCCCTCTCTCTTCCACTCTCTTTAAAAATCAGTGGAAAAATATCCTCGAGTGAGGATTTAAAAAAAAAATTCTTGTGGCACACCAGTTGAAAATCACTGATCTAACACAAAGCCCATTTTATAACAAAGTATTGACTATCTCACGCAATTTACTATTCATATCACTTTGGCACCATCCTAAAGTTGAAAATCCCATCTAACCATTGTAAGTCCAGACCCATCTGTCATACCCAAGGTTGAGGCAGTGGCCAACCCAGAGGCAGAGTAGTGGCTGGGTGGGCAGTGAGAAGGCAGGAGCCATCCCCTGAAAGGGCCATCTGGAAGGCCAGCTAAAGGAGGCCTTGGCCACAGAGACAGGTGTAAGTGCCTCATGACAGCATTCAAGGCCTGGGGTACATACTCAGGGAGCAGCCTGGAAGGAACTGGTTTCAAATCTAGGCTCTGCCGCTTGGTTTTGTGAACCTGGTCTCTCATCTGACACCTGGTACGCACTCCCGACTGCCCCAGGAGAAGCTGCTGCCCGGATGTTAGGCTAGAGGCCACTTCCTTCTGCAAGTGGCTCTTGTCTTTATTCCTCAAGAACTCAGAGAGCAATGCTGGCCTGTCTGCCTCCCCGGGAAGCCCCGACCCCGAACAGTGGCCAACGATAGCCCTACTCCATGTCTTGGGCCAGGCCCCCACTCTCCCAAGGAGAAAACTGACCTTGTTGTTTCACAAACTGAATGACAGCCATTATATGAGAACCTTTCTAAAGGACTAGAGTGTGGATTTCTGCGGTTTTGGTGCCCTGGTTTGGGGTGGAGTGGTCAAAAGAAACCCAAGGATACAATCCAGAACTTCCAATTCTGCAAGGTCCGGCTCTTCACATACTCATCAAACATGTCTGTCATGTGATCAAACTGGCGCCGGGTGACGGGGACTCCTGTGGCAGGGAGCAGCTGCTGGCAGGAGCTGCAATGACAGGAAGAGTCAGAGGAAGCTTGGAGCAGCTGGTGACAATTACGGACCCCGGGGGGCACCGAATGGGCAGGAGGATCCTGCCTGTGTGGCGCACACGTGAGGACGGGGCACCGCCTGAGCCTCCAGGCCCCCGCCTCACATGTTGGTGGCCCTCACATGATGGTGGCGTTGAGCTCCTCAATCTCGTCCCGCAGTCGCCGCGCCTCCTCCTGCATCTGGCTGCGCTCCTGCTGCAGCTTGGTGATGTACTCCACTGTCTTCTGCAGCGTGATGGCATGGCTGGTCTGCAGGGGGTGTGGGGTCAGAGCAGCGCCCACGCCCCAGGACCAAGCTCCCCACCTAATGCCCCCAGGCAGCTCACCAGCTTGGAGTTATTAGAGATCAAACTGTTCAGGGTGTCAAAGCCCATCTTGATGTTGAAGCGCCTCTTCTGCTCGGCTGAAATGTGCTTCATCTGCCGGTTCTGTTGGGGAACCGACCCATCACTGTGATATGGGGTGCGCTGCAGGCCACCTCCGCTTGTCCCTCCTCCCGCCCTCTCAACCTGTTGCTGACTGCTGGGGGCAGACTGGACCCTGTGGCCAGGCTAGAGAGCTAAGTGGAAGGAGCGGTGACAGGAAGCTGAAAGGCTCCAGCAGAAGCCAGGAGGGGACAGGATGGGACTCTAGAAAACCACCCCTGAAGCATGGTGTGTGGCAAGGCAAAGTCCTGGCAAGGCACAAACACTGCCAGTCGGGCACTTCCCAGCCACCTGCAAAGCTCTCCTGTCCCTACAGCTGCCACTTCCTGCCACATTACAGGATTCAATGTTGCTCCCATAGGCCAGTCAGTGGGTGGGGGGTGGATAAAGAGGGCTGAATATCAAAATTAAAGGTGCTGACACCCACATTTCCGAGGCTACCTCAGCCTGGGGAGCACCAGCTGAGCCATGGTTCTCCTTTCCAGTGTGCCCCTCATAAGGGCATGGCAGTCCCAAAGGCCCCTGCCTCCCCACCCTTCCTAGGGAACAGAGACCCAAAAGAGATATGTGGTACCTTTAACACAACCACATTTTTGGAATCTGCAGAGTATTTCCCTGAGTAGTTGTTCTGGGGAGACTGAGGACTGGGGCTGTGTTCTGAAGCACACGGAGAGGCCTGCCCGGAGTTTGGGCCATCCCGACCTGAGAAGAACAGAGACCCTGCTTAGGGACAGGGCCGGAGAGGGGGCTCGGCAAGGCTGTGCCTGCTGCAGTCCTCACACAGGAAGGGAACCCTAGCAAGTCCCAAGACTCAGAAACCCATCTTCAGCCTCCCATAGTGGCCCCCAGGCAAAACCCAAAGAAGCATGCTGCAGCATGCCTGCTGCTTTCCTGCTCCTGTGCGTTATCCTGCCTGCATGGCTCACTCTCCCAGCCGGGCCATCAGCAGGCTTATGAGACCTCGCTGCTCGGCCTGTGAGCCCAGGCTCTATTCTAGGGCACCCATGGGGGCTTCCCCAACCCAGGAGTGGGCCAGCTCATTTCACTCACAAGTCCCAACTGTCCCAACCACAGTGACCACTCACCAGAACCCGCGACAGCACCCTGGGGACTGCCCCCGTGCAGTGGGGCCTGCTCGCCCTTCACTAGGGAGTCTTGCACTGAGCTTGCAGAGAAGAGCCGGGAGATGGGGCCAGGCTGGCTGCTTGTGACGTGGCCCAGGTCTGTCACCAGGATGCTGCTGTGGAACTCTGTGACTCCAGGAGCCTGGGGTGACACACGAGAGAGGGGTCACTCCTGACTACCATTATGTTGGGTGAGGGTCGCCCAAGAGCAGGCCATGCTGCGGGTTTAAGGATGCTGAGGTCTGTCCAGGGCCCTCACCCTGGCGATGGGAGCAGGCGTGATGACCACATTGGACTGGGACACGGTTGAAGCCAACATCCCTTCTCTCTTCAGAGGGCCTGTCATGATCACTGCTTGTGGCCGTCCTGAGAAGGCAGCTGCCAGAACAAGAAGGTGAGGGGGAGGCCCCAAGCCATGGAGACCTGCTCTCAATGCTGGTGTTAACCCCGGGCCTGGCCAAGCCACAATGGGGTCCCCCAGGAGAAAGACGGGACTCTTTGGCTGCCACTGAGACATAGCGCTCCTCACCGCAGGGCACAGAAAGACAAAGCCACAAGGCCCCTGACATGTTTTTGTAATTTCCCTTTGAAGGGGACAGATTACAGACCCAAGAAAGTGATGACCAGGACCACCTGTTTTCCAACTGGATTGAGACTAACTTTAAAGGAACAACACAGAACACCAAACAGACTAGAGCAATCACATGCAGTATTTCATAACTTTTTTTCACATCATAATGTGTGTGTGTGTGTGTGTGTGTGTGCGCGCGCGCGCCATGAATATGTAAGCCTTGGGGCTGGGGGAATATCCCGGGGGGTGGGGGGAGTCACACTCCAGCTTCCCTCCCCACTCACCTTGGGCAATGCAAGCATTCTTCAATACCAAGGACATGGGCTCTGGTTTGGGAGCAGGCACTATTTTGGGGGGCTGCTTGGGCCTCCCTCCAGCCAAGGATACAGGTTTGGGATGCACAAAAGTTAAACGGGGTTGCAGAGGCCCAACAGCTGGCTGCTGGGTGGCCGGAGACAGTGCCAGGCCACAGGGGGATGCTGAGGGGGTGGGGTGGCGAGTGGTGATGATAAGGCCCTGGCTCTGGCTGAAGGTGGTGGCAGAGGCGTCGTGCGTGAGAGTGGTGGAAGCAGTGTGGGTAATGACAGCGGGGGACTTGTTGGCTCCAGAAAACTTCTGTGGCTGCAGGAAGGTGGGTGGGGTTGGGGGGTTCAGGGGGGTGGCAGGAGGGACTAGTGGCACAGCAGGAGGAGCCGGCACTGGGGTGGGGCTGGGCGAGAGCACAGGCATGGTGAACACGGGGAGGAAAGGCTGTGGGACACTCAGTGGGGGCGCCGAGGGACCAAAGTCTGCGGGCTGGATAAAGGGATCCTCAGGCTGGGAAGTGCGTTCACAGCCCGGCCTATCTGTGGAGTCCAGGGCAGTGGCTGCGGGGGATGCGATGAGACTGTCAGGGAGGCTCACGGTGGGGAGAGAGGTGGTGGGCAGGATGCTCTCCTGAGAAGAGAAAGAAGTGAGGAAAAAATACTGGGATCATACAACTCGCCATCACTTTCTGGTGCTGCACTCCACAAAGTACAGCAATGTCTGCCGGGCACCTGAGATGAACCCCTGGACAGAGGGACAAAGGCGCTTCTCCCATCCCGTTAGCCCGTTAGTGCTGATCTGGGGGATGGATCTGTGTCTCCCAGATGTCGACAGGGGTCCTGTTTCCATTAGAAACTAAATGATAACACGGGGCTCAGACAAAGTGACTGTCTGCACACAGCTGGCTCTCGGCCTGGGAATATCTCGTTTCTAAAGTCCAGCAGGGGTCCCCAAAAGTCCCTGCCATCTTCTGTTACAGAGCAGAGGCAGCCTGGATCCCAGCTGCTCATGGGGTTCCCTCAGGACAGTTTCGTGTATCAACTTCCAGAGAGGTCACCTCTTCCTAAAAGGGAAACGCTATAGGAATCAACTGCTCAGATCTCAATCTCTACAGAGGAAATTCTTCCCAGAGCCAGATGGAAGAAGATGGGCCAGGTTACTGGTGTCTAACTGGACACAGGCACCAGCCTGAGAGCCCCTTCAGTGCAAAAGGCCCGGCCTCACTCGATAACCAATCTCTGTTGATTGCTGAGTAAAAACTAAAAGAAATACACAGAACTTCTTTTCATTAGTGATCCATGTTTTTGCTGTCGTGCTTACTTTGTCTTAAATGGTCAGAACAGAGCTCACTGCACACAGGTTACCTGGAGCCTTAGGTAGGAGCACGTTTATGGAGTCAGTCTCCCAGCGCGTGAATCTCCAGGATGCTTTAAAAGGGGGATAGCATAATTTCTTGTGATCTAACAGCCCTTAGCACTTTGCTCATGACTGTGTGGTCACGTCATTAGCCTAGCCATGACTGCAGATGTTTCATGACCAGCCCTGTGCCCCTCCCCCAGCTCCCTCTACCTGAGCAGGTGGGCTGTTGGGATCTGGTGCAGATGTTGAGGCAGGTGCAGACAGCATGGAGCCAAAAATGGAGCGGCTGGAAGAGAAGAGTTCTGAAAGACAACATCGGGGCTTTTGAGCTCCGTGTGTCTGTCACTTCCTTGAATTAAAATGCAAACAAATCAGTCACTGAACCCCACCTTACCCAGAGGCATGCCATGGCCAGAGGGCAGTCCCCCTGAGGTAACTCTGCAGAAAGAGGTCCTCTGATTGGAACCACACCTGATGGCAGCTAGTGTGAGCTCTGAAATACTCCCAGGCCTGGCGTTTCACCAGCTTTTACAATGGTGGGAGCTCAAGCACCAGCTTTAACTGCAGGAAACTGTGGGGAGGTGGCCGTGTCGCCGGCGCCCTCTGCTGCCTAGAGGGAAAACTGCTCACAGTCATGGCCAAACCAGAGGCTCTTGAGACCGAGAATGAGAAGACCATTCCCACGACAGCAATGCCCCAGAGAAACTTGCAGACTTTGCAGCTACAACCAAAAAAGACAGTAGTGCTGGGGAAACTCTAAATTCTCCCTGCTCCCTTTCCCACTCTAACAGTTCCCTCTATGAAAGGGAAGCACCAGTCTGCTTTGTCCTGGGCGAAGGAGATGCAGGTGGCCATGCCCTCTCTGCTCATGTCCTCACCTTGGAAAGGTTCAAAAGTGTCCATGAAGTCCAGATTGGGCTGCAAAGGAATCAGCCCCGGCTGAATCATGTCTGCATTTCCCAGATGTGCTGAAAGGATCAGAGAGGAGACAGAGCAATCACTTTGCCTTCTCAAAGTTGTAGGAATATATGAAAGGCCTGGAATGGATCTCCCTGGTCCTGCTCAAATTCTAGATTCTTCCAAGAAGAAATGTAGGCAACTGGCTGGGATTTCTACCTTCTTGTGGGTTCATGGCCATTCTCTACCCTCAGAATGCAGAAAAGAATGTGATATTTTTGGAAGAAAGGTAAATTGAGTATCAGGAACAGACACTCCCAGAAATCATGAATAGTTCTGCAGAGATCCCCCACGCCCATTCCAATTCTCATTCTGTGGGCTCTTCCCTGATGGGTGAGCTGGACAGCTGAATGCAGCCAGATGAGAGGTCATGCCCAGGAGTGCTTCCCATCTTCTTCAAAATGAGTCACAGGCCCTGTCACTTGGGCTAGGCACACAGCTTTTGCTAAGGGGACAGAATCAGAAATGTGAAACTGATTCAGATCAAACCCCTGCTGTTTCTCACAGAGATACCATGGGCCTGACAGCTCTAGGTAGACTCAACTTGCAGTCCCCACCCACTCAATGTATGTGGCCGTCAGATGTCAATGAGGTTGGTCAATCTTCCTTCTTACCGCCTGCTCCAAACAAGTGACCTGCAGCTGCTCAGAGATGGCCCTGAGGTGAAGCCTGCCCCAGGGAGGCCTGACAGAGAAGGAAACCAGCCAGGCACTCAAAGCCGGGATCTGGGGGTGGGTTACCTATTTCCCGTGGGTTGGGCCAGGCCACCGGTGGGTGTGAGGAGAGTGTGGAAAAAAGTGTGTCGCTGAATTCTGACATGAGCATGTCTGTGTCCAGCAGTGGGTCCTCCTCCATTGGGACTGGGGTCTTCCATCCATCCCGATGTTTGTGCCAATAAAGCATGTCATCTTCCTACCGCCAATAGAGGGGATGGAGAAGTCGAACAGACGGTGGTGGACTCAGAGCTCCCAACCATGCTGTGCTGGGGACATATGCCCCCCTATTCTACAGAGTGGCAGGGGCTGCTGCACAGAACGTGAGTGGGTGCAGAACTGGGGAGAAACCCCTGCAGCCCACCCAGCGGAGAACTGACCCCTTTCCTCGCCCTTCAGTCTTTCATGTGAGAAGGCAGCGGCCCCTCTTTAGCCTCAGGGAGAGTCCATGTCCCCAACCTCCTCTGATGTGGGGCTCACTTGTCAAGCCATCAAAGTTATTTATGTTTCTTGTCAAAAGGGGGTTCCCTATGAGAGTCCTCACATCCCCAAGCTCCCTCACCTGGGCCAGGCTGGAGAGGTCCTCATCCTTGTGCTGCTGTAACTATGGAGAAAAGGAGACGAGCTGGTCACCCAGGGCCCGGGAAGAGATGAGGCCCTCAGCCTCTCCTCCCTAAAAGAGCGTGGACTCCGGAAACATCTAGGATCCTCTCTCTGGGAGCAGGTGGGGAGAGAGTCCTGCTCCCTGCCACCCCCAGGCCATGCCCGGCAGAGGAGATTCCTGACCAGTGTTTGTGAATCAAAAAGCCTGTTCACAGATGGAGAAGCTGACAGCAAAGATCACGACCACAGCAGGCCCATTACTTGGAAACCCAGATGCTCATTCCACGGGCAGCTATGCAGCTGCAGCCTCAGGGCCAGTGTTTGAGCGCAGGACTCTCCCTTTCCTTCCTCTGGGGCCACTTCCCCAACATGCTCTTTTTGGACCCCAAGCCAGTTACCCTTTTCTTGAAGTAGGTTCTCCACTTGTGATATTCCCGGATCACGATCTCAATGCGGCTTTTCCAGTACTTCCCTTCTGTGGTGATGGCCTGTGAGAGAGAGGCAGGTCAGCAGGGAAAGATGGCGCCGCGGTACATCAGCAGAAGTCACCCAGGAACAGACCCGTGTCTGACGCCGGGTTGGAAGTCAGCCTGGGCAATCCAGCTCGCAGCCCGCCATGGTCCTAGACTTCATTCACAGTGTCCCCCTCTTCTGGGCTACAAGTGGCCTCTAACTGAAGATGCAATAGCCAAGGGGGGCTTCGGCAGCACGGGTCCTGAGGGTCTGGACTGGATAGGGTCAGACAGAATGCTCCATCCAGGTGCTGAGGAGCCCTACAGAGACCCAGGGGTAACACCCAAATGCACGTTTCCAGTAGCCACTACTACATTTCCAAAGGGTCAGAACAAACAGTCAATTACAGAAGTTTCAGGTGGAAAGTGATTGACTTCCAAGAGTATGTCGTTCAACTGAACCATTACTTGGGGCGTGCGTCCTTTCACATCCTTGAAATGTCCGGTGACAAGGAATTCACGACTGCCTCAGAGAGCCCACTCACTGTCAGATCCCTATCATACCGAAGTCCCACATAATCTCACCCAAAAATACTTCCGTGTGCCCGGTTGGTGTTACTAAGTGGTTATAGCATTTGGTTCACAGGTTTGATTCCCGATCAAAGGCATGTACCTGAGTTGCAGGTTCGATCCCTAGACCCGGTCAGGGTGCATGCGGGAGGCAGCCAATTAATGTGTCTCTCTCACATCGATGTTTCTCTCTCTGTCTCTCCCCCTTCCCTTCCACTCTCTAAAAATATCCTCAGGTGAAGATTAAAACAGAAAAAAGATATCTGCCTTATAAGGAGCCCACTGAGTCACAGGAAGTAGAGGGTAAGTCCCCACTGGAGAGTCCTCCAGTCCCTGGTCAGCCCACTCTGAGAAGGGGGAGCCACCTGCTCCCCACATCCCCATGGCTTCTCAAAGTCACAAGAGCTGAGAGGACAGTGCTGCCCAGCATGCTGCCCTGTGGTCTCCCACTGGGGAACCCAACCCTGGCTCCCAGCCCTCATGAGTTGTCTCCTCCTGAGTGAGGGCAAGTTCCTTCCCGGCCACCCATGATCACCGCCATTTACCTCGGGCCGGCGATGCTCATCCACTTCCACAGAGCCGTCTAGTGGAGTGACGAAGTGGCATACGGGATTTTTGCGCTTCTCCAAATCTGGGTGGAGAGGGGGTAACACATCATCACTGCGACCAAGACCCCTGAGGAGGGAGCCTTGCCCCTCGGTACACACCCCTCCCCTCGGGTGGGACCTCTCAGGTGTGTTCTTTCATTCTCTTTCCCTTGGGAAACAAGATTTCAGACTAACAAAGGGGTCCAGGTTAAAGAGAAAGGATGTGTCAAGATGGCGTGGGTAGGAAAGGGAAACGCCAGCCTAACACCAGGGTGGCCCAAGCATGGCCATCTCCTGCAGAAGTCACCCGGGCCAGCTGGAGACAGAACAAGGCCGGACCTGCATTTCCTTAGACCTGCTGAGAGCGGGAACTGTTCCCTGATGCTTCAAATGTCACTGTCGGCTACACCCTTTCTGATTCCCCTGAAAAGAACAACCCCCTCCCTCCACCTCTGCCTTTTCGACATTGGGCACTTGTGTCTATCATAACAGTGGGCAACTGTGTTGTAAGCAACCAGCTAACACATCTGTCTCCTGCAGACACGGGCACCTTCACAACACAGACCACTTGGTTGGCCCCCTGTGCCTGATGGCTGAGAAGTGTCCAGTTCACTAGGATTTGGCTTGGTTTTCCTGTCTCTGCAGACTGTCCAAAAGAGGCTTCTCTTTGAGGCACAATTTCCAAGGGTGGGCTCTGGAGCCCAAGGTGCACAGGCCCCTGCTCACTTGGCACTCACACTGCATGTACCACGCCCGCCAGATGGCGTTATTGAGCCGGATCTTGTCTCTCCACTGGAGCTTCAGGCCCTTGAAATTCTTCCACTTTGGAGACACCAACTTCCCACTGAAACGAAAGAAAGAGGGAAACTCATTGGTTCCTCTGAAAATGAAGTGACATCAGAAAGTGCCACTTGATCATTCCAGGCCCCCAAATTCTGGATTAATCCATTACAAGTCACAGGTGAGATTGACAGAATATATAAGTCCCTCTGGGATTTCTCCCAGGTGACATGGAGTAGAGGTGTTGGGGATGATGGGTTGTTAACTGTTGAAGCAGGCTGAGGGCAAGGTTCATTATTCTATTCTGTCTACTTTTTGCATATCTTTAAAATTTTCCATAATTAAAAGTTAAAAAGAAATCTGTTGAGTTCGCAATATATATAAGTATCAAGTCACATTGTACACCTTAAACTTACACAACGTTACCCGTCAATTATACCTCAATGAAGCTGAAAAAAAGAAATCTGTTGACCACTGAATGAAGGCCAAGCTCCTTTAACCTGGTCTCGGCCCACCTCCCCACAAGGTACTTACAACAGGCCTTTGAACCTGTGGGGCCCTCTCCTGCCTCCAGGCCTCTGCACACAAGGTCCTCACTCCTCACAGAGCTCCCTGTGCCCCTGCTCACCTGCTCATCCTTCAAAACACTGCTCAATCATCATCTCCTCCAAGCAGGCACTGAGATCTCCCAGAGCACAGCTCACACCTCAAAGAGCACTCACCCATAGTCCGTAGAACAATGTCTGTGCCCACATCTCCCTCCAATAGACAGACTGCAGCTTCTAAAGGGAGGGACCTTTAGGCATCACTTACCCTAAGCACCTAGCACAAAACTCGGTACATAGCAGGGCTCAGGTAGTAATTCTTCATTAATGAGTTAAAGCGCTTGCAAAGCAAACTAAGAACAGGCAAGGAATGTTCTCTGGAGGCACAGCCTCCTCGGACAGCTTAGTTTTCCAAGGGCTCTGCCAGGAGCCTCCTCTGAGCAGCTGGCACAGAGCTCCTTTTTCAGATGGCTTGAGCTAGCAAGGGGCTATTTTTGGTTCATACCAAACGGGGTTCTCTGGGTCCTCCTGACTGCAGGTCACAGCCCTTTCCCTTTTCCAGACCCACTCAGAAAGCTCAAGTGACAGAGACAGGCCAATAGCTCAACAGCTGAGGTCTTCAAAGACAGTACCCACGCAATAAACCTGAGCTGAACCTGAAACCTGGGTTACGAAGCAAAAGGCTGTGCACCTGGCAAAACCTCATGGCTCCCTTTACCCACCCAGCATCGGGCCAGGCTGAGAATCACGGAATTACATCAGCCAGAAGGCTGTGACCCCCAGAGAGAAAATGTCACAGCACATTCTCTTAGAATCAGAGGGACAGACAGACAGCAGCAGCCTCACCCCCAAAGAATTAGGGCCTTCAAACCAGTTATACACCTTCTTCCTCTCCTTCATCCTCATCCAATGGCACTCTGAACCCACGCCCCCACTGCTCAGCTTTCACCCAAGTTCAACAGCCAGAGACTCTACTGCATAACTGCATCCTAACTGAACTTTTACGGTCACTTAACTCTTCTGGCACCCATTTCCTGGGTAAGATCATAATAATACTATCACCTCCAGAGTGTTTTAATAAGGATTAAATGTGTGTACACGCACACACACACACACAATGGGTGAACCCTAAAGCAAAATATTATAAGATATTAATAACCACCTCAGTGATTTAGAGTTACATTATTACTGAAAGGCCTGATTTTTAACACCTCCTGACTTGAAAAGGCCTCTCTTTTGTGCCACTATTGTCATGTGACCCTTCCTCTTCTACAGGAGGAAAAGGTGACACCCACATGCCCACTCTCCATACCCATAAACAAAGACCTGGGCAAAGGTCTACCCTGAATTCCATGTGGCTGTAGAACCACTTGCTTCTCGTTTCCTCATCTGACAAGTCTACTCTGTGCCGTGCGTGAGCTAAGAATGAGGAAAGGGATGGATGAGGCAGATGAAGTGCCCTGAGGCACAAGTCCTGCCTAAGTGCTGAGTGTTGTGAAGAAGAGCGGAGGACTCTGGGAGCATACAGTCGGCATAACTGACCAGTCTGCCAGTCAGGAGAGGCTTTCTGGAGGAGGTGACATCTAAGCCAAGGCCTAGAGGATAAGAAACCTTTAAATAAAGCAAGGAGAGGGGGAGAGGCCATTCCTGCTGCCTGGCCGGCCATGGCTCCGAGGTGAGCAAGAACACACCTGGCCAATGCAGCGGAGAACACCCAGCATGGCCGGAGCCTGGAGGGGGGGGGGGGGGGGTGCGGCACTACCAGACAGACCCGACTGGAGAGCAGAGTATATCCCACAGTGCATTAGGTCCCACAGTGGGCAAAACCAACCCGCTTCCCCCACCTCTGCAAGAGCTGTCAGCAACCTGATGCCTAACCAGGCAGGTGGTTCCAGAAATAAAAACAACAGAAAACTGTCCCTATTTCTTTATTTCCTTAAAGGGAAAAAATATCCAAAACTTTTCTATAACTGATAGTTTCTTCACATTGAAGCCCAGGATAAAAGGCCAGTTTCTTTTCTTTTTTTTTTTTTTTTTAATTAAATCTTTATTGTTCAGATTATTACATTTGTTCCTCTTTTTTTCCCCCCCATAACTCCCCTCCTCCCAGTTCCCGCCCCACCCTCCACCCTCACTCCCCACCCACTGTCCTCATCCATAGGTGCACGATTTTTGTCCAGTCTCTTCCCGCATCTCCCACACCCCTTTCCCCCCCCCCAGGAATAGTCAGTCCATTCCCTTTCTATGTCCCTGATTCTATTATAATCAACAGTTCATTCTGTTCATCAGATTATTTATTCACTTGATTCTTAGATTCACTTGTTGATAGATGCATATTTGTTGTTCATAATTTGTATCTTTACCTTTTTCTTCCTCTTCCTCTTCTTAAAGGATACCTTTCAGCATTTCATATAATCCTGGTTTGGTGGTGATGAACTCCTTTAGCTTTTCCTTGTCTGTGAAGCTCTTTATCTGACCTTCAATTCTGAATGATAGCTTTGCTGGATAAAGTAATCTTGGTTGTAGGTTGTTGGTATTCATCACTTTGAATATTTCTTGCCACTCCCTTCTGGCCTGCAAAGTTTCTGTTGAGAAATCAGCTGACAGTCGTATGGGTATTCCCTTGTAGGTAACTGAGTTTCTTTCTCTTGCTGTTTTTAAGATTCTCTCTTTATCTTTTGCTCTTGGCATTTTAATTATGATGTGTCTTGGTGTGGTCCTCTTTGGATTCCTTTTGTTTGGGGTTCTCCGCGCTTCTTGGACCTGTAAGTCCATTTCTTTCACCAGGTGGGGGAAGTTTTCTGTCATTATTTCTTCAAATAGGTTTTCAATATCTTGCTCTCTCTCATCTTCTGGCACCCCTATAATTCTGATGTTGGTACGCTTGAAGCTGTCCCAGAGGCTCCTTACACTATCCTCGCATTTTTGGATTCTTTTTTCATTTTGCTTTTCCGGTTGGGTGTTTTTTGCTTCCTCGCATTTCAAATCATTGACTTGATTCTTGCGCTCCTCTGGTCTGCTGTCGGGAGTCTTTATAATATTCGTTATTTCAGTCCGTGTATGCTTAATTTCTAGTTGGTTCCCCAATATAAGATCCAGGGTCTTATTAGTTTTCTTGTAGATCTCATTAAGTTTATCGGCGGCTTCTAAACAGTTCTTGAGAGACCTTAAAAGTGTGGTTCTGAACTCTATATCTTCCATTGACAATTTTGTCCTGTTTCTTTGTCTCCGCATTTTGTTATGCTTCCTTGGTGCACCCCCTAGTGGTCTTTGTGCGCAGTCTTATAGTTAAATCTTGATTGTTGTAGCTAATTCCAGGGAGGGTTTGACCTCCAGGCCAAGTGGTTATGAGAATCAGCTGTGTCAGCAGTGAGAGAACTTCTGTCCTCTAGGGAGGTGCTAATCTGGCGTTTGCCTGAGGCTATCCGGCAAATGCCTGTGTGCAGGGCTTGGGCGGGGCGGGTCGCACAGGATCAACAGGGTGGGCCGGAGAGAGCAGTTATGGCGGCTCTCAGTCCTGTCCCCAGGAGCTCTGCTTCTCTGAGTCCCAGCACCCGCTGCAAAGCTCAGAGAGAAAGCTGCACTCGCTCTGACCGAAGCCAGACAGTCCCGCTTCTCCCGTTTGAGTCTGGGTCCCTAAAGACTCGCCCGGATCTGGAGCTCAGAGTCTGCAACTCCCTCCCGATTGAAAACGCCAACCGCACCCTCTGCCGCCAGCCCGCTCCGCGCACTCCGCACCTCAGAATTTGACTTCAGCACTGCGCCTCCTCTGAGTGTCCGTATGCGTTTCTCTTTCCTCCTAGTTGTAGGACTTCCACTCAGCCAGCGTTCCTGTGGTTCTGGGTGATGTCCCTTCCGTTTTTTGGTTTCACTTTTGAAGTAGTTGTTCAAAGCAGCAAACTCCGGCGTTAACCTATGCCGCCATCTTGGTTCTCCCCCAAAGGCCAGTTTCTATGTTGCTGGATCCTGACCCAGCATTTGCCACCTGCAGCGATGGCGCAGAAGACACCAGCAGGAGAAGGGTGATAATGGAAAGTGAGGGCTCCTGGGAAGAGAACCAGCTTTGGTGCCCTGCAGTATTTGGTGAAGAACTAACCACTAGGCTTAACAACAAACCCAACCTTATTGCTGCTCTGTTACTGAAGACAAAGCAGGGCAACCTGAGCATAACAGCATCTTCTCAGAGAAGTGAGGTTACCTGGCCGGCTTCAATTACTTACAGTGAAGGGGGTGGGGAGATACGGAGAGATCAAACCCTGTAAGCTGGAAACCAAACCTGACAGGGTGTAGTCTGGGGGTTCTCATCTTCTTCCTCCTCCCTTGCTGAAATGTTTGACGTTTCCTTGATATTTATGTCAAATTTGGTCAAACTTCAGCAGGAGTATGTCAGATTTCAGAGCACAAACTGCTATTACACGCCGCCCCCCCCCACCCCCTACCCCCGATTTCTGTAATATCTCAATGGCCAACAGGTGGCGCTCAACCAACACAAAGAAGAGTGAGTCCAAACCAAAACCAA